TATGCAAGCAATGATTAACAACGCGTTACCATGAGTTTGACACGCGTTACCACGCGTTACCATCTTTTATTTAAAAAAACTACTATATACATTTTAATAAAAACTTGACGGTAACGCGTTGCTTTATCAACAAAATACCATAATGAATAGAGTTACTAGGCGTTAACGCGTATGGTTATCCGAGATAACACATGGAAATGCATTGTTTTTGTAATAGAAGAGCCAAATAAACAATTAGTACATGGTAACGCGTATGGTAACGCGTGGTAACGCGTGGTAACGCGTGGTAATGTGTTCTGTTCGTAATAGAAAAGCCATATTATAAAACAATTAGTACATGGTAACGCATGTGGCAATGCGTGGTAACACGTTGCTTTAGTAATTTATATTTCAAATGCCATATCAAACATTAGTTTATGGTAACTTGAATAAATTAAAACTTTGCCCCACCAAGTAATCAAAAATTAATTAAAAAATGCTTATAGTTTCATCAACATTCAATTATCCATTAACTTGAGTAACTAAAGTATTATTAATCCATGTGAAGTTATACGACTTTTTCTAAGAACTATGCACGGTTAATTCTCTAAGTTAAATGACCTATCCAAGGATGTACTCGACCGCCCTCCCCCCCCCCCCGCACCCAATCCCACCCGGCTCAGAAGAAGACTTGATATGGTACCATTATACAACGTAGAGATCTTTGTATGGACTTCACAATACTACCCAAATTATAGTGAATAGTAAGACGCAAATATTACTTCACACAAATTGCTTAAATATTTAATCTTTGTCACACCTCTGGAAATTAAATTATCCCCCCCCCCCGCCAGCTATTGTGCCCGCATATAACATGCTTTCAAATAACTTCGAGCTGCTGCCATCTAAGTTTTCTTAATTTCTATTATAATCGTCTACCAAATATATACTGATACTTTTTGGAACACTCCCCCATTTCTTTTATATCTCCCCCCCCCCGGGCGACTTGACAGTACTGTACTATTCTACATAATAATAATATAATAATAATAATAATAAACATTTATATAGCGCACAAACCAAGACTGTTCTAGGCGCTTTACAGTAATACAAAATCCAATCTTAAAACTAGTGTTAAGAATGTTAAAACTATAGAATACATCATACACTATTTAAAAACAAGTTAAAAAGATATGTTTTAAAAAACTTCTTAAAAATGGTTAATGATTCACACATCCGAAGATGAACAGGTAAATCATTCCACAATCTTGGTCCAGCAACACAGAACGATCTGTCTCCGTATGTCTTTAGTCTAGAATAAGGAATCTGGAGCAATTCATTTCCATTTGATCGAAGAGTACGCTGCGAAGTACGACACAGCATAAGTTCCTTCAGATACGATGGAGCAAGATCATTAACAGCTTTGTAGACAAGAAGTATAATCTTGAATTGAATACGGTATTGGACAGGTAACCAATGCAATTCGATAAGAACTGGGGTGATATGCGCCGATTTCTTAGTATCAGTTAGTAAACGAGCTGCAGTATTTTGGACTCTCTGAAGCTTCTGAAGCAAATATTTGGGTACACCATACAACAGGGAGTTACAATAATCCAATCTTGAAGTTATAAATGCATGAATAATTATTTCTAAGCAATTTCGAGGTAGATACTTCTTAATTCTTGAAATATTCCTAATATGGTAGTAAGCTGACTTGCAGATACCATTAATATGTTCGCCCAATCTGATCCACTCATCAAAAATCACCCCCAGATTTCTTGCTGAAACAGTTGGCACAATTTTTTCCTTTCCCACCATGATATAATTTAAGGGAGGCATCAGATGATAGCGTGAATGGACTAATATAAGCTCCGTTTTGCCACTATTTAGTTTCAATTTATTCAACATCAACCAGTTTCCCAATTCAAGTATACATTTCTCCATACGGATCTTAGATGATATTAAATCATCACGATCATTCGTTTTGAATGCAATGTAAAGTTGCCCATCATCAGAAAAAAAGTGAAAGCGCAGATTGTGGCGCCTAGCCACATCCGCGAGAGTTCATCTTCGATATCACCTCGTATTTTAACAATTTTCTGAGTGAAGAAATCACTAAATGAGTTGGCAAGTGACATTGGGTCAGGAGAAGATGGATAGCGAATAATCGTATTTGTATGCAGCAAATTGCTTACAGTCTTGAAAAGGGTTTTTGATCAGATGATCCATTATTAATTAAGTCGGTATAGTAAGCCGATTTTGAGGAGTCGATAAGTTTATTTACAGCATAACATTGTTGTTTATAGCGATTCCAATCAGCATTCGTCCTTGTTTTATGCCATTTTCTCTCAAGTTGTCTCCGAATTCGTTTCTTATCATTGATTTCGTTAGTATACCAGGGTGCCTTAGGGCGCAATGTAATTTCCCGGGATTTAATCGGTGCATGGTTATCTAAGATAGTATGAAGACAATCATACTCATTCACCAATGATACCAAATCCATAGTCGTAAAATTCTTAAGAAGAAAAGAATTTAGTACATCCGTTTTGAATTTATGAATATTAACCGCCCGCAAATTACGAAGAAGCAAATGTTTCTTCACAAACTTCGGTTTCCTAATCAATAGTTGTAAATGCACAACTGAATGATCAGAAATCAGAGGATCGAAGATGTTGTAATGGTTAACAATGTTTTCTTCAGATCGCGTTATAATTAAATCCAGTGTGTGACCACTTGCATGTGTTGATCCAGAAATGTACTGCTTCAAATCAAAGGAAGCGAGAAGATCGACGAACCGTTTGGTAAGAGGGTCATTAGGATTGTCCAGATGAAAATTGAAATCTCCAGCTATCAAGAGTTGCCCGGGTGATACAATAATTCCTTCCAAAAAGGATGAGAACTCTTCAAAGAATAGAGTAGATGTCAATAAGTTAGCCGATGAAGGAGGCGGCCGATATACAACAATAATTCTAATATGTAGAAAGTTCAAAAAAGAACTGTCAAGGTATTCAAATGACCTAAATACCTCCTGTACATTACGCTTAATATTAAGACTTTCCTTGAATAAGAGACCAACGCCCCCACCGATTGATCCATGTCTCGGTGTATGCAGAAAACTATAACCTGTTGGGCATAGATCCCCAATAATCAAATCGTTCCCACTTGGAGGGAGCCAAGTTTCCGTCAAAGCAAGAATATCAGTATCTTTATCCACAACAAAATCTTTAATAATCATAGTCTTGTTTCTAACCGATCTGGCATTAAGAAGGGAAAAATCAAATAAGTTTGTAAGTTCACATTTAGAAGTAGAAGGGACCGTAGGCACAACAATTAGGTTAGAATAGAAACAGTTTATGACCGAATTACTTTGCGGACCAGCTCCAGATGCCTGAGCCAGTCCGTCTGATGTCGATGTCGAAAAACCTGACTCCGGTACGCACGTCTATGTTTATTTACTTTCTCTGGGTTCACTGGCAGTGGGCGGTGAGTGATACGTACTGGAATGCTTCGAAATTGTTGACCACGATCATGTAAATAACTAGAGCAAGATTGCCTACCAGGAACATTATAATGACAGCTTTGTTCTTTTTGAATAGGATTTGTACGGCTTCCCGTATGGGAAAGCTCGCCTATTTTCGACTGTTCACTATTGTTCCTAACAGGGAAAACTACCTTTGTCAGGGTTAATTCCTCTTGTGAGTGATTGATGGATTTTGGCAATGGCACCAAATCATGGTGTGACGTTTTCTCGCATGACTGATCTATATATGAGCAATAACCCGAATAGTACCATCTACAGTGACTACTACACATGCACGCAAAGTTATTTCACTGAAAACTTCGAGATGCTTTTAACTAAGTCTTATCAATTTTTAAGACAATCGTCCACAAAATATATTGAGACTTTTTAAATCAATCCCCTCCCCCCTTATTTCAATGTTGAAACCTACGGTACTTATCCAAAACGAACATAAGGTGACACTAGAACTGTAACTGTGTCACTGGCAGTTGAAATTTAACATATGATGTTGGAATTAAACTATATTGTAGTGCCTAACAACATTGAAATCGGGGGATGGGGTTTGTCTCAAATATTTTGTGGACGATTGTAGGGCCTCTGAAATTTGTTACCTTCAATTATCGCGGAGTTGAGACGTCAGAGCTTCCGGTCATTTGTAAAATGCGCTGTCGTTCCGTTAGTGAGTGCAACTGAGTATGTTTTTATCTTAAAAACATTGCCACATGTGAAATAATCACAGAATAGAGAAATAATTTTGTAGCCTAGTCGTCTCGCGTTTTTTTCCCTGCCCCTGGCTTTCGGTAGAACTTTTACGTAAATGCGAGAGAACAGGGCCCGCGGAGCGTATTAGAGAGTGGGGGGGCTAAATCATCAATAAAACCCCCAATTAATTAATTTAGAAAGTTTCATTTAGATTTCTATTTTAATAATTTTGGCTGTCAAAAAAAGTGGGGGGGCTAAAGCCCCCCCAGCCCCCCCGTCTTCGCGGTCCCTGGAGAAACTGGCAGTTTTGCAATTGGTATGAAATTTCGTATCTTAACTAAAACTTTTGGTTTGGGAACGTTTCTAATTGCATGTCTTTCTTTCAAATATAATTTTGAAGACATCACAAAATTTGTAATAATGGTCAAAAATGGCAATAATGGCAACAATGGCAAACAAGACAATTTTCTTAAAAAGCATGCGGGCGGGGATGAGAAACTAATATACAACAAATAGTGGCCTTATAGCATGCTCTATCAATAAATCAGTGAAATAAAAGGAATATATTTAGTACTTACTGCCAAAGGAGCCGCAAGCCACCAACAAGTTCCTGTATGCTGACATAACCATGTTGTTCAACTTCAAAAATATCGAATAGATGCTCAGCAAACCCCTATATTCAGAGAAACAGGAAACGTTAATTTCATAGAAACTACATACGTATGCTGTAAAGAGATTATTCGGCAAGAGAAATGTAAATAGCATATAATAGCAAATAGCTTATAATATAAGTGTATAAAACTGGACATGCATGCATTAACTCAAGATTCTCCCCGACACTAAGTGACTAACTTGGCATGCAATTTGGTAGATTGAATCTCCTGCTGTCTTAAATTAAAGTACTCAGGAGCGAATTTTTATGATATACAGTAGCAAGTACTATAGAACTTTTATGGTCCTGCAAATTTTGGGGGCCCCTTTCCTTCTCTTCTCTTCTCATCGCCCTTCTTTGCCCTATTTTCCGTTCCATTCTGCAATAGCAGTTTATAGGCTAGGTCTTACCGTACTGTCCTTTCTGCAGGAAGATACAGGCAATACTTCAAGCAAATGAAGCGAAACATATCAAGCAGACTGCAGGAGACATTAGTTATAAAGACTTAAAAGTGAAACTAAAAACTACAGAAGTGTATAAGAATATCAATGGATGATTCCAGCTGTCGACTAATTTTTTAACTATAGGCAAGTATTGCATGGACCATAAAATGAAGTTGAACCCCAAGAAATGCAAGGAGATGTTTGTAAATTTTATGACAAACCCGAATATATTAAGTAGGGATTTAGTCGTTTTTGGTACCCAAATAGAATCCGTTGATGCGTACAAATTGTTAGGTGTTATGCTCGGAAGTAATCTTAAATGGAATACGCAGGTTGACGACAAAACAAAAAAGGCGTGTAAAAGGTTGTATGCATTAAGAGTGCTAAAGAAGGCTGGATTGCAGGAAAGGGAACTTGTTCTAGTGTATAAGTCGATGATTCGACCTATTCTAGAATATGCTGTTGAAGCCTGGTCTGACTTCCCACAGTATCTAAGTGACAAGTTGGAAAGAGTACAGAAAAGAGCTCTCTGGATTATATATCCTGGTAGTGACTATGGCGAAGCATTAAAGATCTCTAAATTGGAAAGTCTTAAAGACAGGAGAGTAGACTTATGTAAGATCGTATATAAATAAACTTAAAGATCCGTCCCATACTCTACATCATTTAACAAAAACATACTATACGAATACACACGGTTATAACCTAAGATCAGGAAATCAGAACCAAATAGGCGTAAGAAAGATCCGGACTGATAGATGTAAAATTTTTTTAACATATAGATATAAATAGTTCCAAAAATTTCTATTTTATAATATCTGTTCCTTATATAGTATATTTATATAATTTTATTGCTTTGTAAATATTTTATTGTTAATATAAACTTGTAAATCGCTTACAATTTAATCCTGTAATTACAAGAAGCGAAATAAACGAGAGATAAGATAAGTAAGGGCCATTCCATTTAATGTCCACACCCCCCCCTACGGATGAGTTTTTCTGAAGGGTGACTCAAAAAATCGTTTCTGAGGGGTTAAGCCTGTCGGCATCCTTTCATCTCTGCGATTTTTCTGAGGGGTAAGGGGAAAATTCACAAATTTCTGAGGGGTGTTTTGTGTCGGCACTTTGATCTTTTTTTCTTAGGGGTTAAAATTCTACTGACCTCATCTGTAGGGGGAATTGGATTTTAAATGGAATGGCCCTAATACAGACAAAATCTATTATTATAGCTCAAAAGAAAATCTAAAATTAGTAAAATTGCAAAGTTTCGTTGCAAAATGTTGTAAAATACGAAAAACAGCAAATTTTGAGTATTTTAGTATTATGCGCGAAGAAATGCACCACTTTCAACTCAAAATTGGTGCATTTTTTTTCAGCGCGTAATACTAAAATAATCAAAATTTGCAAATTTCACAGGGCTATATTTTACGTATTTTACAAAATTTCGCAACCAAATTTGGCAATTTTACTAATTTAAGGATGTTCTTTAAGCTATAATGATAGATTTTGTCCTTCTGGTCTGGATCAAAATTTAGTCGATATAGCTGAAATCATCCATTGCTCGGAATATCTGTATTATTTAGTCCTGTACATCATACCTCCAAATTGCGTGCTCCCATAACGAATTGCGTCTTTTTCAGCTTTCCATATTCTGTCAGAGGGCCAAAGCTGTTTCGAAACCAGTTAGACCGACGAGATTTGCTTGGTAAACACTCAGTTTCATCTGGAATATCCAGTCGTACGGGTGCAGGAATTTCAACTACCGACTGATCTATCGTTCTGGTCCGATTGTCTTGACTAGTACCTGACATTTTCTGTTATTTGATGTATGTATAGTATCGCAACAGAGTATTACAAGACAATAATCCATGCGGATGTCTTCATCCAAGACAAATCTGCAGACCTGTGACTCACAAGACGGAAAAAATTTTGACTGAAGTTATTTTTAGCCAGTTATTATAACTATTCATTAGCCGAATACCATAAACATCACGTGCAATATAAAATCCCAATAACAAGCTTAAGCGCAATACCTAAATACCCTAATTGTGTGAAATTGCACTAAAATACATGTCTTATATGACTTATGTCCTCTTGAATATAATTTGCACTAACTTGAAGTGTGCTTGTGCGTTTCTTGAATCCGCATGGCTGCTTGCTCACGCATATTTTAAGCTAATTAGATTTCAGTGAACGTGACACCGGCAAAACAAATGAGGTTCCTTATCTGATTTCTTTGTTTGCAAATCACACGGCTCTCGATATATGCTCACCAGTCACGTATTATTCTCAAGTTGTTTTAATTGCTATCAGCGCTTTTATCAGTATACGTTTATGTCTAGTAATAAATTTATTTGCTGGATCACGACTTATTGCCTAGAGAACTGTATGGATATTAGGATATATATCCCGACGTCAGACTTCAATAACATATTATTTTGAAATTCTATGTATTTGTTATGGCTATAGCGCTAAGACATATTACTGTTACATTTAGGATGAATTAAAAGCTTTACTTTGTAATTTTAGGTTTTCGCAATTCTTCTTATATATATATACTTCATTGTTTTAAACGGCACGTTTGTCCTTCCAGAAATCA